GAACCCGCCACCTTAGGTGTATATGGCTGGTGCCTTAGCCGCTTGAGCCACAGGCACCGAGCCTCTGAGCAGAACTTGAAAGAAAAAACTGGATGTTTGTTTAAGACAGGGCCTCTGTTGCCTAGGCTGGAGTGCAGTGGTGTCATCATAGCTTAACTCCTACAGAGTATGCCACTATGCCCAGCTAATTTTTTATTTTTTTAATTTATTTTTTATTTTTTTGAGACAGAGCTTCAAACTGTCGCCCTGGGTCAAGTGCTGTGGCATCACAGCTCACAGCAACCTCCAACTCCTGGGCTCAAGCGATTCTCCTGCCTCTGTCTCCCAAGTAGCTGGGACTATAGGCCCCTGCCGCAACACCTGGCTATTTTTTCGTTAGAGCCGTCGTTGTTTGGCCGGCCTGGGCTGGATTCAAACCCGCCAGCTCAGGTGTATGTGGCTGGCACCTTAGCCGCTTGAGCCACAGGCACTGAGCCTAATTTTTTATTTTTTGTGGAAACGGTCTCACTAGTGCCCAGGCTGGTCTTCTACTCCTGGCTTCAAGTGATCCTCCCACCTCGACTTCTCTAAGTGTTAGCATTACAGGCATGAGCAAACACACCCAACCAGGTACGGTATTTAACCTGGAGAGAAGAATGTGAGCCAAGGGTAGTAATGAGGCAACAGTTGCTCGAGGACCAGCACAGTTCTAGGGCCACACTGCCAGATTCAGATATTGCCTCACTGACTAGCCATGTGACTTTAGGAAGGTTACTTAATCATTTCGGCCCTCAGATTTCTCACAGTAAAATGTCGATTATGATAGTTCCTACTTGATAAAGATCATTGAGAAGATAACATGGTTTAACGTGTAAAAGCCCTCTTATATGTGACTGGGAAATACTAAGTGTTTAGTAAATGTGAATTGTTATGTGAAGAGCTGTTATGGGGAAGGAAGGGGAATTTATGATGCTCTAATATAAGGTGTTAGGACCTCATTAGCCACTGAGAGACCACCATACACACATAAAAAAACAAAGTGCTTTTTATTCAAATGAAAGCATATGCCTGGGTCACTACCTTACAGTGAAGGAGGGGCGACCCTGAAGGGACACGAGTGAGTGGAGGTTTTTAAAGCATATAGAGGAGTTTCATGGGGGTGTTTTGTTGAGCAGGGTTGCTATTGGCTGAGCTGTTTATGGTTAGGGACTTTCTAGAGAGAGGGGCTGCTTGTCTGTTTCTGATAGACTGCCTCCCTCTGAGCTGATTGACCTTGCCCAAAATTTGGAGGGGGAGGGGCTAGCCGGTCACTTTCAGACTGGCTGCCCAGAAGTGCAGCAGAGGGAGCCAGTCTCTTTCTGATAGACTGATTCCACCAGGACAACCTTGCCCAGGAGGGGAGTGGGGAGTTAGTTCTAAGATCCAGTTACATTAACCTTTTCATTCCCAAATGGAGTTACATTAACCTCTTCAAAGGAGCTTGGAAGGAAGCTTTACATTCTTTCAACAACATTCAACAGTTATTTATTGGGTAGCTATTCTATCCCAGGCCCTTGAAAATACAGCAGTGCATAAAAACAAAGTTCCTGCCTTAGGAAACTTACATTCTAGGCAGTTTATCTCCCTTTTGGAGGGAGATTGAAGTTTCAGAGACCTTCCAGCTAAGGCTGTTGACTTCCAAAAATATGCAGTGGCTCATCTTGGTCCCTGGGAAACATTGTTGGCTAAAATTAAGGCCAGTTCAGGTAGGTGAGTCATTGCAATTCCAGCTAGTTCCAAGCCAAGAATGCCTTAAAGGGTTCAGGGGGTTGGGATCCTTACTAGATTACACAGTATACCTCTCCCTTTGCTCCAGTATGGATGCTTATCCAGATTAAATCTGGCAGATGAAAGTTAATTTGAAGAGTTACAGTATCAAGAGTAGAGGACGAGGCCACAGAAATCTTGCATCACTTGGTGGAAAGGAGGGTAAGATTTGGAGCAGACTATATATATAGAGGAGACTCATGGCTTTTTTTTTTTTTTCCATGTTTTAAACTACTGGGGGTGTCATTGCCTCTTGGGTTCGATCTTGTGATCGCTCAGCCTGTGATTGTAACAGAACAGAGCCCTCTTACATTCCACACATCCCCCCCACCCAAGTCCAGGAGGACTCCCTACATTCAGTGATTTCCTTCCTGTGGGACTGCTGTGTCCTTCATGCATTTTGTGTGTGTGTGTGTGTGGTGCATCACACAGACACATTTATTCATGCCATGAGTACACGATACTTATACAAGGGACAGTCCATGTTCCCATGTGACACAGCTTGCTTAGCTCTATGGGCAGACTGATGGTCCATCTCTTGTGCACTCCAAGTGAGGCTGGTTAGTGATGACCATGAGCAGGTGCGGGAGCTTTCAAAGCTTTACTTCTTTTATCAGCACTCCTGATTTTATAAATAATGAAGCTCATCAACCCCATTCCCGTACAGATGTCCTGGTAAACTTCGGTATAGTAAGGTTTCATGGGGACCCACACATTTTTAATAAAGCTTTGAAGCATCTTGGCGCCAAAGCAACGGCTGGGCCCAGCAGAGACCCACAGGCCCACGCATTTTTTTTGTTGTTTCAGTAATGTTAATGAATGCCAACCCAACTTTGTACCAAGTACAGTGCCCTAGGAATCAAGGGAAGGCAGAGACAGACAAGGTCTCTAATAGAGCTTATATTATAGTGGAGAAAACATTTGTAGTGCTTTGAAATAAATGTTTATAATGCTGAAGTAGAAAATAATGGGAATGGGATGAGTGCCAGGTTTGCAAAGGATGGTCAGAGGAGGCCTCTGCTCCTAAACAAGGAGCTGGAAGGTATGAGAAGAGCCAGGTAAAGAGCCTTGGAGCCCCTGTGGTGGCTCTCCATACCTGAAATCCTAGCACTCTAGGGAGCCAAGGTGGGGAGGATCTCTTGAGGTCAGGAGTTTGAGACTAGCTGTCTATAAACTGTCCACTACAAAGAGAAAAAAATTAGCTAGGTGTCCGGGTAGGCACCTATAGTCCCAGCTACTTGGGAGGCTGAGACAGGAGGATCACTTGAACCCAGAGTTTGAGGTTGCTGACAGTGACACCATGGCACTCTAGCCTGAGCAACAAAGTGAGACTGACTCAAAAAAAAAGTAAAAAGAGAGCCTTGGGGCTAAGGGAGAGAAGGCCTGGGGGCTGGAGCTTAGCCTTGGGCATGAAGTGGGGGGTGGGGGAGCAGAACTGGAATAGTTTGGAGTAGTTGTGAATTCAGCAGGAGCCAAACCATAGACTCTTGGGCGAACAGGGGAAGAGAATCAGTCATGTTCTGGTTTAAGCCACAGGGTGCATGTGATGCCTTTTATAGAGCTAGACAGGCTTTAGGAGAAATTAAACAGTTCTGTTTGGGACCGGTGAATTGGAGAGGTGCAAGTACAGCTGTTAGGCAGTCGGAAGTGAGTCCAGACGTCTGGGGAGAACCTGTACGGCAGCGGTTCTCAACCTGTGGGTCGCAACCCCTTTGTAACGATGAAAATACATCGCGGCGTTAGGAAGGTTGAGAACCACTGCTGTACAGGGAGCAGGAAATTTCTTATTCATTCCTGTTCTAAGTAAAATATTCTTTTTATTCTTAATTCTGAAACAAACCAAATGTAAACCAGATAGTGAGAAACACTGCTTCTTGTCTCATTATTAGTGAAGATGCATCAATTCTTGATCCCCCCCCCCCCCCCGCCAGGAAATTGTGACAGTGTCTTCCTGTTACTTTTGTTTCCTTTTTTTCAAGGTTTTCTTAATAACCTAATGTTTCCTCTTTTAAACCCAAAGGTCAGTACTTCATCTATGGGCACTTTCCCGAAGCAGGTGAAAATCGTAGAAGTTGGTCCCCGAGATGGACTACAGAATGAAAAGGTAAAGATGAAAATCAACCAAAATAGGGTTTTCAAGCAGCTGCTTTGAGTATTCTATGTGGTAGGTGTCGTGGGGGTGGACAGAGCTGTGTGAGATGTGCCGGACTTAGTCTAGGAGGCTAGGCAGGCACCTATGACGGTTAAATGATCTAAAATGGTGGTGCGACAGGCGTAGTGCCGCTCACAGCCTGGTGGGATGGTGTGAATGGTGTAGAGCAGTGGTTCTCAACCTTCCTAATGCCACGATGTATTTTCATTGTTACAAAGGATTTGCAACCCACAGGTTGATATCCCCTGGTGTAGTGAAGGGAAGAGCATGCCTTTGGGTCTGTCAATTCCACATCAAGAGATTAGCGATTTAGCCAGAGGAAGTCTTAAAGACCAAGTGCAGAGATTTAGCCTTGGGGATGTTCCTTACAAACCTGTTGGTAACAGCAGAGTAGCTGGAAACAACCTGGTGTTCGATATGGGGAAAGTTGTATCAAATATATTATGGACTTCGCATGAAATATGAAGCCATTAATAATAAAGGTATATATTAAGCAACCCAAACAGGTTATATGATAGTGTTTGTGTGTATGTATTTGAACCTTATGCTTTTGTGTAAGAAACAAAAAGGTAGATAATGCAGGAGCATCTACCTAGGATAGGATCTTGACCAGCATGTCCCATAGAACTTTCTGTGGAGATGGAAATATTCTAGACCTGAGCTTTTCCATATGGTAACCACTAGACACAGTTGTATGGCTGGTGTGGCCGAGGAACTGAATTTTTACTTCTACATAATTTTAAGTAAATTTAAATAACCACACATGGTGAGTGGCTAACATGTTAGACTGTACAGAGCTAAAAAGTCACAAAAAAGGATGTTAATAGTGTTATTAGCAGGTGGTCCTAAAAATAGTTTTCTTTTGTTTTTGGTATGTTTTTCTGAAATAAATATATATTGATTCTTTTTTCAATAAGCAAAAGTTTTTCTTTTTTTCCTTTTTTTTTTCCTTTTAAAGCATGCCCATCCTAGCTTTAATAGTGCTTGCTGGAAACAAGAGTCTTTGAGCTCATGCTCCATGAGGGCAGACTCCTGCCTGTTCTCCTTACCCTATATCCGCAGCACCTAACGCAACGCCTGGAACATGAAGGTTTTTCAGAAATTACTGGTGGAGTGGACTGAGAGCAGTGGGAGAGAAGTTGGAGAGGAGGGGTCGTGTGGGAGGGCCAATTAAGAAGGATCTGGAGTTCTTAGAATTCATTTTACCTAATCCAATCCTGGGGGTATTAGGGAGCCATAGAAAGGGTTTTTGTTTGTTTGTTTTTGAGATGGAGTCTCACTATGTTGCCCTCAGTTGAATGCTGTAGTTATCACAGCTCACAGCAACCTCAAACTCTTGGGCTCAAGCGATTTTCTTGCCTCAGCTTCCCAAGTAGCTGGGATTCCAGGCTCCTGCCACAACGCCGGCTATTTTTTTGTTGTTGTTGTTGTAGTTGATGTTGTTGGGCAGGCCCGGGCCAGGTTTGAACCCACCAGCTCCAGTGTATGTGGCTAGTGCCCTAGCCGCTGAGCTACAGGCACTGAGCCCCACTGAAAGGTTTTGGGCAAGAAAGTGAGATAATGGAGGCTGCGTTTTGGGAGGATTCCTGTGTAGGATGAATTAGTTGAATGAGACTATGACATAAAGTACATGGGACAATGATGGTAGATTGGGGAAGAGAAATCACAGAATCTGGCAAATGACTAGTCATGGTGCAGGAGGGAGGGCAAGAAGCTACGAGCTGAGCACATGAAGATGAAGGTCCTATGCAAGCGAGGTGATGGGAAAGAGGAGGGTGTGATACTTAGAGTCCCCAACCCAGGACCCAGAGAGTTAGTCATCTCGGCCCTTTCAGGTCATCGAACATTGTTCTTAGTTTGTTTGAGATGGGGCCACACATTTAGTTAAGGAAGAGTCTGCATTTCAGAAAAATGTTTCCATGTGAATATTAACTGCTCTTCAGGTAAGAAGCTGCGTCTACTGCAGTGGTTCCTAACGCCGCAACCCTTTAATATGGTTCCTCACATTGTGGTGACCCCCCCCAACCATAAAATTATTTTTGTTGCTTACTTCATAACTGTAATTTTGGTACTATTCTGAATCGTAATTTAAATATCTGATATGCAGGATGTATTTTCATTGGTCGTGACTATACAGGTTGAGAACCACTGGTGTACTATAAAACACTGTCTGTGGGGCTTTAAGACAAGCCTTGTGCCCCACCTCTTGATGGGAATTACCTGTGAATTCATGTTAGCGTTTGGAAGTTAAAATCATGAAGTGCTTGCTCTAGCAAAAGTCTTGAACTAAAAGGCACTATTTTCTTTTTTTGTAGAGACAGAGTCTCACTTTATCACCCTTGGTAGAGTGCCATGGCG